GCACGAAATCCCGCTCATGAGGTCGATGGCCGAGGCTTTCTATTTCACCGAGCGAGCCAAGGAATCCCTCGATGTTCTGCTTGAAGAGATGTCTGAGGTGAGGTGGGGGCGGCGGTGGCGTGTGCTTTGTTCTTTGTGGTATTGTGATTTTAGAATTATGTTTGTAGATAAGTAGAACTAAGTAGTGATTATTGTTGATAATCGATGAAGTTTGTCAATCGATTATTGTTGTTGGCAGTATTGAGTATGGAAATCATAGTTGTTCATGTTGATATTTACTACCATCCATTTTACTTTCGAGATATTCTGATTTATGATTAATTGGGTTCATGAAGAGCTGTTGCTGACATTATGAACATTATTATTACCTTATTTAATTATTATTATCGTTATTTGTATGATTAATATTGTAGTTAATAATTATTATCGTTATTATCACTAGGGACATTATCACTACTATTTTGTGATATTAATCCTCATAATTATATGACGTTACAGGCTTTGACGGACTACGTGTTCGGGCATTGTGTGTGGGACGATGCAATGCTGTTTGCCGAGAATGGGATGGAAGTGTACACGTAAGTTATTAAGGCATTTTTCTTTTATGCCGCTTGGTATTCTCATGTAATATGCATTATCTGAAGGTTGGCACACACACACACACACACACACACACACACACACACACACACACACACATACACACACACACACATACACACACACACACACACACACACACACACACACACACACACACACACACACACACACACACATATATATATATATATATATATATATATATATATATATATATATATATATATATATATATATATATAAATCTGAAGTTATATGATTTGCATGTGTGTTTCTAATCTGACTGGCTTTTATATTACTCCAGAACTAAAAAGCGCATGAAATGTAAATGACTGCAAAATGATGTTATATTCCTCTTGGAAGCAACACGCCAGCATTCTCTTTCTCGTCTTCCCCAGTTACCTTAATACTCACCGCGACATAGACACCCCTACCTGGGCCACGCCCCTGTACGACCGCCTGCGGGAACTGGGCGTCCGGACACCGCTGCTGGAGACGGGCGTGTCCCACGGCGACGACATGGTGCACCTCTTCGACTTCCCGTACGCCCTCGGCAAGTTTTCGGCGCGTGACGAGATGGTGTCCACTTTCGTCACGACCACGTGGGCCAACTTCATCACAAACGGGTGGGTCTTCTCTTTATTTGTCCTAGCGGGTCCCAGACATTTTGCTCTCGCGACCCATCCTCAAACGTCCTGCTCGTCCTACTCTCAAGCCTCCTACTTTATCTACTTGTAGTATAATATTCTTTGAAGTCAGAGTATATTCTTAATATTGAGTAATGACGAACGCCAAGCACATTGAACAAATGCCCCTCAAAAGCAGGGGGAATTTGGGATTTCAAAACTTTCCCAGTATCATATAAGTTTTACTGGAAGTTCCTTCAGCATAGCTTCTTTCTTTATTGCATTGTTACGAGTGATTACGTTTATGATTTTACAATAAAGCATGCCACCCGAACGTCAATTCTAAAGCACATCGGGAAGTCGACACGCACTGACTCAGTAATCGCCTCTTTTCTAAAGGTCGCCCGTGATAGGAGACACCAGCAAGCTCTCATGGGCCAACCTCGACAGCTGGACGCCCTTGCAGCCTGATCAACCCATGAGCTATTTCCGCATTTCCGTCGAGCCGACCATGGTGTCACGACCACACAAAGGAAAGGTCTGTACAGCTGTGTACATGTTATCAGATAAATCGAAAATGCGTACACTCGGTTACCTATTTGGAAGGTTTTATTTGCAGGAAGGCATGTCTGTAAGGTACACACATTTACGGACATATATATCTGTGTGTGAGTGAGTGTGCATATCTGTGTGTGAGTGAGTGTGTGTGTGTGTGTGTGTGTGTGTGTGTGCGTGTGTGTGTGTGTGTGTGTGTGTGTGTGTGTGTGTGTGTGTGTGTGTGTGTGTGTGTGTGTGTGTGCATTCTCTGCCTTATCTTAGAGATAAGTGATTTCCTGCTGTTGTTTTTTGTGCGAAGTGGGTACTGTACATTTTTCATTGAGATTCTTTGTTATTCACTTTGACAGGAAAGGAATTTCTGGCAGCAAGTGGTGCCAAGCGTCTTCAGCCAGACGCACTCGGAAGCGGCAAGCAAAGGCGCGTGCCACAGGAGGGAGCAGTCGTCGTGCCCGGCTTCGCCCCGCCCTTTCGCCGATTAATGTGAACTAATGCCCATACGCCAAACGCATACCCTTGCGGACATACACACACACACCAACGCGTATACACACTAGCACACAAACACCACTGACATATACGTACGAGCACACACACAACCAAGATAAAGAAACATGCTGTAAATATTCGCGTTGATGTCGAAATTAAGCATTTGTATATATTGTGAGGTTTTTTATCGCATTAATTCTAGAAAATAAGGTCTGAGTGTTTTTAATATTATATGATCGTGAAAATGATTTTTGTACAATAGCATATTTTTCTAATAAATATTACCTAGCTATAATGTCTTTCCCCTCTCGGAAATAATCAATAAGAAAAAGTCACTTCAAGTTTCTTTTTATTATGAACATTTACCACAAGATTTCCTGATCAGTCAGTCTTCTATTCTAATTCCAAGCTTTTCCAATTAAATCATGACATTTGCCTTTATTGTTACCACTCATTTACTTTTCCTTATCTTCTCAACAAAAAAAAACAGGAACAAATGAAAAAGAATATTCTTAAATGTAAAACTTGCAGGATCCCTAAATCCACCGTTCATAGCGAAATTCCTCTGTGATTCTTCTCAAGCCACACCTTCAGGAATCTGAGACGGCGCTTAGTTCCATCGACTGCGGATGAGCCGTGAGCCTTTTCTTCCCCTTACTTTGCGCCGACGATTCTGGCGGATACATAAGACAGAGGAATATGAAACAAATGTTAAGACAGAGGAATATCATTAAAAATAAGTCAGAAGAAAATGATTAAATACAAGCGAGATCATTTTTCCGTGGTCATCAGTAGAAACATTCGTTACTCTTTTGATTAAATTTCTTATCAAAAACGCTTACTCATATGAGTAAAAAGTAGTAAGTGAGATTACTAATGCTTACCAATGACGTGAGGTATTTTGCAAGTAGTAATGAGTTGTTTCAGGTCACAAAGTCTATTCTAAACTTAAAAAATCCATGGCATTGTGGCGAAACTATATCTATTCGGAAAACAAATGCATTAAAGGTAGAAACCCAATGTTACTTCAAAACCTAATTCCAGGACATCAGAATTGCATTACTTACAATTACGTCAGCCTCCGAAGCAGCGGTGGCGCCGTTTCCCTGAGCGGACTTGCGCATTTTAAAGCGCGTCGTGTCCCTCCGCCTCCCTCCCCCCTGCTGCGTCTTGTCCTCGTCTGCCGTCAGCTCTCTCGATCGGCATTCTCTGATTCTCCTGCGGGAAAGTCGAGGTCTCCCTTTTCCACGCCGTCCTTCCTCTGCCTTCCCTGTGTCCTCAAGTTCGCCGCCTCGGTTTCCATCAGATCCGAACGGTAGAGAGCAGACTTTTGTTGGCGCGGAGTCTCTGTCGGGTTGGCGGCCGCTGTCCTCGTTTCTGGAGTCCCCGTTCTGCTGCTCTGCCGAAACGTCCTCGCCTTGGCAATTAACGGTAGGTGACGAGAAGGCCCTTACGCCGATAATTCCCGAACGGGCGATCTTGACTGGACTGTTGGTGGGCGTTTTCAGCTGTTCTTTCACGGAAGGCTTCAAGGCAATCTATGCAAGGATACAGAACATATATGTCAACCATAGTGGAATACACACACTCAAGCAGATAGATAGTGAAAGGGAGAAGTAAAAAGATAGAACAAGAGAAAGAGAGAATAGACGGAGAGAGAGAAAAGAAAAGAGAGAATGAGAGAGAGAGCGAGAGAGAAAGAAATAGAGAGAGAGAGAGAGAGAGAGAGAGAGAGAGAGAGAGAGAGAGAGAGGAGAGAGAGAGAGAGAGAGAGAGAGAGGGGGGGGGGGAGGAGAGAAAGAGAAGGAGAAAGAGAGAGTGAGAGGAAGAGGAAAAGAGAAAGAGAGAAACAGACAGACAGACAGACAGAGAAAGACGGTGGGGAGGCGAAAATGAGAATGCACTCAGATAGATAGAGAAAGGGATAAATAAGAAAGAAAGAAATAATAAGAGAAAGAGAGAGAAAAAGAATAGCCAGAGAGAGAGAGAGAGAGAGAGAGAGAGAGAGAGAAAGAGAGAGAGAGAGAGAGAGAGAGAGAGAGAAAGAGAGAGAGAGAGAGAGAGAGAGAGAGAGAGAGGGAGGGAGGGAGGGGGGGGGGGGGATTGTGGGAGAGATACGAAGCCAATCCCACAAGATATAATAAAACTGTTGGTGGGCGTCTTCAGCTGTTCTTTCACGGAAGGCTTCAAGGCAATCTATGCAAGGATACAAAACATAGTGAAAGGGAGAAGTAAAAAGATAGAACAAGAGAAAGAGAGAATAGACGGAGAGAGAGAAAAGAAAAGAGAGAATGAGAGAGAGAGCGAGAGAGAAAGAGAGAGAGAGAGAGAGAGAGAGAGAGAGAGAGGGGGGGGGAGAAGGGGGGAGAAAGATAAAGAGAAAGAGAGAATAGACGGAGAGAGAGAGAAGAAGAAAAGAGAGACTGAGAGAGAGAGCGAGAGAGAAAGAAATAGAAAGAGAGAGAGAGAGAGAGAGAGAGAGAGAGAGAGAGAGAGAGAGAGAGAGAGAGAGAGAGAGAGAGAGAGAGAGAGAGAGAGAGGGGGGGGGGGAAGAGAAAGAGAAAGAGAAAGAGAGAGTGAGAGGAAGAGGAAAAGAGAAAGAGAGAAACAGACAGACAGACAGAGTTTATTTGTGTGTACTCTTCATTCAGTAAAGAGTCAAGCCATTTAACAACTATCACTGTCCAACCATTCCCATTGTATTAAGGCATCCACAGCCTTTTGCAAGGAGAGAGAGGGGGGGGGGACATACACACCTCGGTCAGCTGGGATGAAGCATGAAGCTCTGAGTGGTTGGTTCCTAAACGTCTGATGTTACTGCCTGCATGCTCCCCGTGGACACTTGGTGGCTGCTCTCTCTTGAAACAGAGCTTAGGAGAGAAGGGGAAGCTTTAATTTTAAGTGGTTTTATTTTTGCCCAATAATATGGGTTTGCCGGGAATTTTAATACAAATGGTGAAACTTGCTCATACACGATCCCTTCGCATGCTTGATCAGTCAGGAAGTGGCTGGAAATCAAGAACGAAGACTACTACTCTCAGCCTGATACTGATGATAAATGTTTTTGTTTTTGTTTTTTTTAATGAAAATGATGCGTTATACAATTATACCTTTCTGCTGTCTCCCCAACCGGCCCCGCCTCTGCCGCGCCACTTACCTTGTGCCGGTGAGAATTGCAGATGCTACAGTGCTCTTTATGATGATCAACATCCCTCAGATCTATGGCATCCAAGTCTACGCCAATATTCTCCTGATTATACGAAGAATACTCAATTTCCTGCTCTGTGCTGCGTCCAAAAGCTGGGAAGGAACATGAGATTGCAAAGACCTTTAACTCGCGTTTCCTTGATTTATTTTATTATTTTTTTAAATTGCACTTGTCTTTCAATACGCACTCCTCACCAATACTTCTCTTTTCATCCCACTCTTTTGTTGCCTGTCTCTATCCCTCCCATCACCGCCGCCCCCGACCTCTTTCTGTGGATATCTCAGATCCAAAGGGAAACGTAACCGGAACTTACTGCTACCACAGACGTTTCCTGCTCCTGGTTTGCTGTCTCTGCTGTTTCTTTGCAGAATTTTCTGAATGTCAGCCACTTGAAAGGCAGAAAATAAATGCAGTGGCCATAATATTCAATTAAAATATCGAGTATCAAAAATCTGCGTTAAACATATGCAGGAACATAACTGGCAAGTCACAGATGTGTGTGTGATGAGGGTGGGGATCTTGGGGATCAGAGGATTATAAGCTTCGCCAAAAGAAATAGTCCTTGATAAATCTACTCAACTATAAGTTCCGATATTATTAACCACGTCCCCGTTTTCATCTATAGCTAATTCAGTCAATTTCACTCCTTAATAAAGTGTCACTATACATTACCATATTTTTATTACAAAAAATCGAAAAAGACGAGGAAAATCTCTTTGTGCAAAAAACCCACACACTTGAGTCTGCCTAAGCATGACAGCCACAGATTTGACACAGTCCGCCAATTACAGGGTTTACAAAACTTCAAGTGGGTGGGGCAGTACAGTTCACAAACACCTGCACGATCGGCCTCTGTATATGTAGAACAAGTTTTGGTATCAAGGAACAGGTGACCGTCTCACATGACTCACGTCGTCGGCGTTTGAAGGAAGGTTCCACCGGCGAAAGAGGCTCCTCTGAGCACAGGACTAATGACTGATTGTTGACGAAGGCAGAGCTGCTGACCTGGGGCTACCAAGAGAACCTTTATATTCTGATTGGCCACGGTTCATGTCACGATATTGCTTTTGAAATTTTCTGGATCTATTAAGTTGTTAACATACATATACTCGTTACACATAGAAGGACTTTATATCTACACATCCATTCAGGACTTACCTTGGATTGCGGGCGAGAAATTCTCACGGTCTGGTTGCTCGCCTTAACCCTCACGCTTACTTTGTGATGCAATGTGCTTACCACTCCCACCTGCAAAACACATATAATACGCTTCTATTAGGGGGCGTGCGATCACTTCTGAGCCTGTTTCTGGCCTATTCCTTGCTCCAGCTCTGTCTGTCTCTCAGCAAACACTACAGCACTAGAACTGCCCCAGAGTTAAGACCAGGCTGGAGCTGGTTCAATCTATCACACGCACGGACACACATGGTGTATCAGAATTTTAATCATGTCGCTATTATGGTAGTATGGTTGTGTAGGTGAAAGCATGGGATCTGTTAAGTTTCAGTATTTTTTTAAATAAGATATATTGCTCTAAAGCCCAGGGATATCCACACAATCAAGCTCGCCGGGCCCTGTCAGTCAGTCAGAGAGTGATGAAGGAGGCCGCGGCCCTACACGCCTTACCGCTGCAGGACACTGGGATGGGCCCCCTCTCAGTCGCACCCTCGACAGGTGGCGAGACGCTGCTACTGAACGTCAGCCTACCGCCACCGATGGTATCACCGTGGAAGCAATCCCTTCGGCCAGTTACTTGCAGGTGACCCTCACACCCCAGCAGCCTCATTATTAGGTGGCCATGGCTGTTCCTCCCACACCCTCGATCGACCAACAGCAGGCCAGTAATCCAAGGCCACTTCAACTACGGCCGGAGGATCGTCAAAAGCAACCGGCTAGTACTCCAGCTCCTGCACAGACGACCGCTGTGAGTAGACGCGACGAGGAGTCAATAACACTGACTCCCCGTGGCCTTCAGTACCCTACAGAGGACAAAGACGCAGGAGAGTTCTGCGCCGACGACCGAGATGGCTACCTCTACATCTAACGTGCCAGCCCGCGACGCGAGTGAAGGAGTGAAGGCCGCCCCG